CATCAGTCTCACACGATAGACACTCACATCAGGTGTATTGTTTTCTCAGGTGTCAGGACAGTGATCAGCAATGCCAGGGTCGCCAGCTACCGCTACACGTGCTTGAAATACGATAGAAAAACAGTAAGTTTGCTCTTATTAAATCATGTCCGCTTTGCAATCGTTCGAACGGCATTTTCGATTTTCCATGAAAAAGAATGTTAGAAGCATATTGTTCCCACATTAAATATTCACATCTATTAAATCTTCGTATCTATGAAATTAAACCCTTTTATAAATACACGGATAATTATCGTTTTAGTTCAGATTTGTCACGTGTATGTCATGACTAGGTGTTAATGTTTTCACACGTGCATTCCGTAATCAAACGCAGCCGCATGCTGGCGTACAGTGTGAGAAGGAAACAAATTTGAAACTTCCAATTACGAGAGATGAAATGTTTTTTTCTCCAGATTTTAAGTAACGAAAAGCGGATAGAATCAAAGCACAATATATTACTATCAATATGCTCAACAATCAATCCACTGCAGTTAGGAAGACGACCGAGAGACCACCGACGAGAATACGCAGATTACTAGCGTTCCTCACAGGTGACAGAGAACTAGCGTCCCTCACAGGTGACAGATTACTAGCAGCAGCTGGTAATGGTCATACGGATACGATCACAGCGTTGTTAGGTGCGGGCGCTAATATAGATCACGCGACCGTGCGTGGCTTGACCGCAGTAATAGCAGCAGCTGGTAACGGTCATACGGATACGGTCACAGCGTTGTTAGGTGCGGGCGCTAACATAGAACACGCGGACGAGAGGGGCAGGACCGCAGTAATAGCAGCAGCTGCTAGAGGTCATACGAATACGGTCACAGCGTTATTAGGTGCAGGCGCTAACATAGATCACGCGAATCATGAAGGCAGGACTCCAGTAATAGTAGCAGCTGGTAACGGTCATACGGATACGGTCACAGTGTTATTAGATGCAGGCGCTAACATAGAACACGCGAACGTGTATGGCGTCACCGCAGTAATAGCAGCAGCTGATATCGGTCATACGAATACGGTCACAGCGTTGTTAGGTGCGGGCGCTAACATAGATCACGCGGACCTATGTGGCAGGACCGCAGTAATACTAGCAGCTGGTAACGGTTCTACGGATACGGTCACAGTGTTATTAGATGCAGGCGCTAACATAGATCACGCGGACGTGCTTGGCAGGACGGCGTTGATGTATGCTGCCATTAGCGATCGTGCATCGTGTGTCATGACGCTACTAGCAGCAGGAGCGCGTGTGGAGGAGAGTCACAGTATCAATTGCAGGACGGTGTTGGCGTGGGCTGCCGACGGCGGTCACGCAAGCATTGTGACGAAATTATTGGATAAAATAAAGGCGTGGAATCCTGAGGACGTGCAAACTGCGTACCAGGCGGCCGTAGATCGCGCCCGTGACGTCACCATCAACGACGGCTATAGAGAATCTGCCGGCGCTATACTGGCGCACCAATACTTTGTCAGTGAGCTGCCCGACCATTGTTATTGTGACATAGAATGTAAGATATCACGCTGTAATGTCAGTGGTGTGACGTCACTGTCTACTTAAATGGCGTTACTGCGATTTCTCATACTATATGAAAACTCTATATCACCGAGTCACGTTGTGGTTTTTCTACTCGCCAAATTTCTTATGAGTTGAGTTCGTGTGAACTAATAAATCCAGCCATCGCTAATGGTAGCATTATCGCACCTTTCATTTCACGTTGACTCAACCGATGAACACATGTCTACCTGCTATCCCGCGATCCCGGCTCGGTCACGTAGCCCCAACTGCTGACTATTCTTATCAACCAAGCAAACATCTTCTGCGTTGTTTACGACTAAAAAATCAGCTGCAATGATCTGCTTATAGAGTGTGTGTATGCGCGCGTTCCCTATGCTTTCTTTAAACCACGTGCCCGTGCGTGTATCAGCGTGTGCGTGTGTGTATGCGTGCGTCATGTGCGCGTGCGTGTGTTTGGGGGGAGGGGTATTTGAGTTTGTATGTGCGTGCGTGCGTGTATGCGGGCCGACATGCGTTCGGGCGTGCGTGAGTGTGTACCTGTATGTGCTCGTACGTGCAAGTGTGACTGAGTGAGTGCTTGCGTGCGTCATAGCAGTAGCAACAGCAGCAGCAGCAGCAGCAGTAGCAGTAGCAGCAGCAGCAGTAGCAGCAGTAGCAGCAGCAGCAACATCACTAATAGCAGCAGTAGCAGGTGCAGCAGCAGCAGCAGCAGCAGCAGCAGTAACAGCAGTAACAGCAGCAGTAGCAGTAGCAGAAGCAGCAGCAGCAGCAGTTAGCATTAGCAGTAGCAGCAGAATCAACATTATCAACAGCAGTAGCAACAGCAGCAGCAGCAGCAGCAGCAGCAGTAGCAGTAGCAGCAGGAGTAATAGTAGCAGCAGCAGCAGTAGCAGCAGTAGCAGCAACAGTAGCAACAGCAGTAGTAGCAGCAGCAGCAGCAGTAGTAGTAGTAGCAGCATCAGCAGTAGCAGCAGTAGCAGCAACAGTAGCAACAGCAGCAGCAGAAGCAGCAGTCGCCGTAACAGCAGCAGTAGCAGTAGCAACAGTAGCAGCAGCAGCAGGAGTAACGCAGCCGTAGCAGCAGCAGCAGCAGCAGCAGTAAACACAGCGGTATCAGCAGTGGCAGTAGCAGCAGCAGCAACAGCAGTAGTAGTAGTAGTAGTAGTAGTAGTAGTAGTAGTAGTAGTAGTAGTAGTAGTAGTAGTAGTATCATCAGCAGCAGCAGCAACAGTAGCAGTAGTAGCAGTAGCAGCAGCAGCAGTAGCAACAGCAGCAACAGCAGCAGCAGTAGCAGGAACAACTATCTAACAACAGTATCAGTAGCAGCAGTAGTAGCAGTAGCAGCAGTAGCAACTGCAGTAGCAGCAGTAGTAGTAGCAGTAGCAGCAGTAGTAGCAACAAAAGCAGCAGCAGCAGCTGTAGCAGTAGCAGCAGCAGCAACAGCAAGAGTAGCAACAGCAGCAGTAGCAGCAGCGCCAGTAGCAGTAATTGCCGCAGCAGTAGCGGCAACAGCAGCAATAATAGCAACATCAGCAGTAGCAGCAGCAGCAACAGTAGCAGTAACAACAGCAGTAGCAGCAGCAGCATCAGCAGTAACAGCAGCAGTAGCAGTAGCAGTAGTAGAGCAGCAGCAGCATTAGTTAGCAGCAACAGCAGTAGCAGCAGCAGCAGCAGTAGCAGCCGCAGCAGCAGCAGCAATAACAGCAGCAGTAGCAGTAGCAGTAGCAGCAGCAGCAGCAGTTACTAGCAGCAGTAGCAGCAGCAGCAGTAGCAGCAGTGGCAGCAGTAGCAGCTGCAGCAGCAGCAGTAGTAGCAGCAGCAGCAGCAGTAACAGCTGCAGTAGCAGTAGCAGCAGCAGTAGCAGTAACAGCAGAAGCAACAGTATATATTATAGCATCAGTACATATATTCCCGTTCCACATTGTCCTCTCCTTTCTTCCTCTCCCCCTGTCTCTCTTTCTCTTTCTCTCTCTCTTTCTTTCTCTCTCTCTCTCTCGACCTCTCTCTCGCTCTCTCTCTCTCTCTCTCTCTCTCTCTCTCTCTCTCTCTCTC